ATTTATTTTAATATATTGTTTATACGTTATTCTTTATAGATATTCGAGCAGATATGAGCGTTCGAAAGAAATCATGGGAAATTTGACATTTAAAAGCAGTAATTCGAACTTAGCAACACGGTGTTTCCTCTGTAGCACAATAGTTTACATGTGACGGTTCCGTGTAGGATGCAGTTTCGATTCCTGTCGAAAGACACATATTTTCTATGAAATTTCTCGGACATTCAGGCTGGTAAAAGTTGTTAATAATGTTTATTATAAACAGATCATTTATTTAAATACTTTTATCTATAAAAATAACTTATAAACAATACATATATATACATATATATATATATATATATATATATATATATATATATATATATATATATATATATTCGGTTTTGAAAAATACTTTATACAAAATCTGTGATTTTTTGTATAAAAGTATTTTTGATACCTGTTTCATATATATATATATATATATATATAAAAAAAATATGTTGTAGTGGTTCCAACGAGAGAAAAGTATGTATATTAAAAAAGAAGAGGGGGTGCCGCAAACGTTTTTGGTTGTAATGTGGATTTATTGAGAAAAAATATTATACTTTGTTTACATAATTTCACGACACGTGTTTCTGGTCTGGTCTCGCAACCGTCTTCAGGTGAAAGTGGAGATTTTTACATATTAAAAAAATAATTAATTTTTCTTCATGTTCAATGTGGAATATTCTCGATATAGAGACATTCTGTTTGTTGTTGGTTCCGAATTTTCTTTCTAAATTGTCAATGAAGAGTTCTGCGTGAAGGGTCATAAAACAATTAAGGTTTGTCCAGCGAGTAGTTATCGGCATTTAATCTTTTAATGTTTTAGTGACCTCTATGTGCTCTTGGATCTGTTTCTATTTTGGCGTGTTCCTGTCAGCATGCGTGTATATATGCGTGCGTATTTTCCTTACTACGAGAATTCGTAAACTTATTTGTACTTATACACGCATACACACACATACACACATACACTATCCCACCACAAGTAGTCAGTACACACACACATATTTCCATCCCAAGCTACATGGAACCAGTACACACACACATACACACACACATCATACATTACACACACACACACGTACTTCTTAAAGTCAACATCCACATACATACATAAATGTATGTATGTGTACATACATATATATATCTCCTCGTGTCTCCCGTATATGAGTGTGCGTCCATGTATGTAGGAGCGATCATTGTATTTGGTCACCCTGTGTGCATGTTTTTTTTTGTTTTTTTTTTGTGGGGGGTTACGATCTATTCAGTTCGGGTTTGAATTTGTCTATAAAGTTTTTTTCCTGTATTTGTAGATACGAGTAATTGTCTGTTTGATATATCAGCATGATATTAAACTTACCCTTCAAAAGTTTTCTGTTGTCTGTCAATTTTATATTGCTTTTGTGTAGGGAGACCCTGTTGTTCAGTTGTTGGCTGATGCCTATATATGACTTCTTACATTTTGTGCATTTAAGTGCATAAACTACATTTTTTGGAGTTGCAGTTTAAGTTTTTTGTTTATTGTGAATGTTTTTTTGGGTTTTCAAAAGTGTAGGAGTTTCCTTCTATAATGATGTCACAAACTCATCTTTTTTTGGTGCATTTGTGATCCCTGTATTTTGTGTTGACTAAATTTAGATGAGGTTAATATGTGTTTTAGGTTTCTAGATTGGCGTTTGCTCTTAATTATTTTGGTTGTTTTTAGTATATTATTCAGTTTATTATTCTTGCTAAGTAAATCTAGATTTTTTTTTTTAGTGATTTCTGGGAATATTTCTGGGTTGTTTTTGTTGTACGTTGAGACATATGCTAGAGTTTGTTCGACGTTACGTTTTCTTTTATTTCTAAGTTGGTCTAGAGGAATTTCTTTCGCGAGTTCAATACCTTTGTTTATTAGTGTTGTGGGGTAGCCTCGTTTCTTGAGAGTTTTATGTAGTTCTTCTAAGCGGATTTTCGGAGATGTTTATCAGTCACTATTGTACAAATTCTACGTGCTAGGGAATAGGGGATGGATTTTAGGCAGCTTTTTTTAAGTGATGGCTCTTGAAATGAACGTATTGTTGAGTGTCTGTGGGTTTGTGGTAGATATCTGTGATTATGTGGTTGTTTTTATTTCTAATGAGTATATCTAAAAATGGTAATTCGTTAAAATTATATTCTTGCGTGAATTTGATTTTTTGGGTGTAAGTTTTGAAGTAGTGTATGGAATTGGTTAATATCACCCCATGATGATTTCCAAAAGATGAAGCAATCATCTAGATATCTTTTCAAGATTTAGTGAATTGGGTCTTTATATTTGTCCCATATATTTGTTCTATCTTTTCATAGAGGTTTTCTTCTAGGTAAGCTAATGTTAATTCTGTCCTGCTCCTAAAAGCAATATAGTAGACTTAAAAAAAGACATTAAGGAATTTGAACGCAAACTGAGACTATAAAAATCTTTAACAATAGCGAAAGTAGTACAGATGAG